TGGATACTTCAGAAAATTGATGAGAAAAAATATTGAGTGGTGTTTTCGTGAGCGGAATCCCACTAAATTTACACTAGAGAACAATAGAGGGAAAAAACTCATCAGTGAAAGTCGGTGGAGTCACCGTGCAGGGCTTGGTAAGTGAACCTCAGATCGTGATATTTGGTTGCATCATTACACCTGTCTATCACCCTAAATATGACTCCTCTTTTATCGATTGGTACTTGCATATTCACCAGCAATATCTCATTTTATCATTATCATCATTACCAAGTCTAATCTATCTCATTCGATTTATAGTAATCAATGATGATTCCAGTTGTATTACCAACTAATATCATTATTATCATTATCACCAGCAATATCATCATTATTGACTACCATAAATTCCCTAAAAGCTACCTCTAATCGTGGACAGACAATGACTATCCCTCAGCAATATCATCAGACCCATATGAGTTAATCTATTTAGTCTCTTGTGTCCTCTTGAAATGTTCTCACTTTGGACTATTAAATCACCTCTCAGTGTCAAGTTTATCATCTTATCATTAATTACGCACCAGCATATCAGTCTATACCCGTTCAATGATTAATCATTTGTAATACGTGCTTATACCACATATGACTTGCTCTCTTAAAGCGATGTAAGTAGCGAAGTGCGGCCCAACTGTATACTAGCAACAAACCCTGCCAGAGACCAACAACTGTTATGCCGTTAATAAATTACGTCACAAAAAAATTCTGGCCCCTAATCAATGATTGGTTTAACTAATTGCCACTTTATACACTTGTCTATCCTAGTCTAATTCCTCTCTCTTAACTCCTGCAACAAACACAAGCGATGCAATAGAACCACTTTTTCTAGATAGACCTTATGTGCAATTGTATACTGTTTGTAATTATAGTACCTTCTCTTTTTACAAACATCTTCTCTAATGTTCATCCAGAATGTTCATAACCACTCCAAATACATATAGAAAAAGCCCTCTGCCACATCTAATCCAGAAAAGTTAATTCTTCAACTGAAAAGTATTATAACTTTAAATTTATTCACATTTATATTTATTCCTGGGCGTGGAACAAGAATATCAATGCAATCCCAATATATTTTTATTCCCCTCACTTCTTTACTATGAACTCTCTGATCATATAATTACTGCTGAAAGTACCTATAATATGCTTTATGTAAGAGTGTCAAAGGATCCCTGAACCCTCACTGAAATAATGATATACTGTTCCAAAGAAGATACGAAATTTTCCTATTTCATCACTATCTCTTTGTGTCCTCTACAAAGTGATTGTATCCTCATGCTGGGATGATTACGGACATCTGAAGTGAAAGCAACCAGAATATCGATCAATTTATGCATATATCATCATCACTTAATGGTATTACTTGAAATTTCTTAAGATCCCCTATGGATGGGATAGGACCTTCTCCCCCCCATTTGTCCATCTTGCTAATCCTACACCTTATAATATTCTTAGCAACATCAATATTCCCCTAGTAATAAGAAATCATTGATTCTATAGGAATATGAATAAAAAGAAAATTTGGAACTACATAAAATTTCGTACATCAAACAAAAAACCTGAGATTTATTATTAAACCTTAAATACCTGATAATTAATATTTCGATCAAAATCCAAGGTTATTGCAAAATATGTTGTTAAAAACTTACTGCACATATCAACAGAAGTCAGGATTAACACTTTCAAATTTCTCCCAAGGAATAACAGTCACAGACACTGTATTTTTCCTAAACTTTACTGTAGGGGTCCTATTACCAGAGATCTGTCTATGATACGGACACTGGTATAGTTTGTCAACCCCTTTCCCCTCCTGCTGAATCATTAACCAAAAAAACTACTTTCAACCATGTGACTAAACTCGCCACATGTGTCCTGCATAATGGTCTTTCATTCAATGCGTCTGCAGCCTCATCCCCTTTACACCTTCATCATCATTATCGATTCTAATCATTGATTTACTCAGCCATGATCCCGAAATTGTATCGTATTATTATCATCATCAATTGATTACACCCCATCAAACTAAATATCTCATCATTATTATCCTTATCATTATTACCAACAATATCATTATTATTATCATTATCATTATTACCAGCAATATCATCATTAATACCAGCAATATCATCATTATTATCCTTATCATTATTACCAGCAATATCATTATTATCATTATCACTATTACCAGCAATATCATCATTATCATTACTATCATTATCACCAGCAGTATCATCATTATTATCATTATCATTATTACCAGCAATATCATTATTATCATTATCACCAGCAATATCATATTATCATCCTTATCATTATTACCAACAATATCACCATTATTATCCTTATCATTATCACCAACAATATCATCATTATTATCATTATTATCCATTCATACATATCAACACATTATAATTAATCATCATCAATAATGTACTGTTTCTCTCTTCTTCAGGGTGAAGACAGTGCT